AATCCTGATCCCGATCCCAAATCCCAAATCCCTGTCCCAAATCCCGTTCCTGATCCGATTCCCGATCCCAAATCCTGATCCCGATCCCAAATCCCGATCCCGATCCCAAATCCCGGTCCCAAATCCCAAATCCCGTTCCCAATCCCGATCCCAAATCCTGATCTCAATCCCGCTCCCACTCCCATTCCCGTTCCTGTTCCTGATCCTGTCGCCCATCCTGATCCCATTCTCAATCCCGAGCCCATTCCTGTTCCCGATCCCAATCCCCATCCCAAATCCCAGTCCCAAATCCCGTTCCTGATCCCGTTCCCGATCCCAAATCCTGATCTCAATCCCAATCCCGATCCCCATCCCATTCCTGCTCCCTTTCCCAATCCCATCCCAATCCTGATCCCGATCCCGTTCCCGATCCCAAATCCAATCCCAGCCCTGATCCCGATCCCAATCCAGTTCCCAATCCCAATCCTGATCCCATTCCTGATCCTGATCCCATTCCCAATCCAATTCCCCATCCCAATCCCAAATCCCAATCCCAATCCCAATCCCCATCCAAAATCCCAATCCTGATCCCGATCCCAAATACCAAATCCTGATCCCATTCCCAATTCCAAATCCTGATCCCAATCCCGTTCCCAAAACCTGAACCCAAATCCCAAATCCCCAAATCCCAAATCCCAGATCCCAATCCCAATTCCAATCCCAATCCCATTCCCAAATCCCGATCCCAATCCCGCTCCCGATCCCATTCCCAATTCCAAATCCCAAACCCCATTCCCAATCCTGTTCCTGTTCCCGATCCCAAACCACAAATCCCAAATCCCAAATCCCAAACCCCAAATCCCAAATCCCAAATCCCAAATCCCAAATCCCAATCCCGATCCCAAATCCCATTCCCGTTCCCATTATTCCTGTTATTCCCATTGTTCCCTTATTCCCGTTATTCCCGTTGTCATTCCTGTTGTTATTCCCGTTATTCCTGTTGTTATTCCTGTTATTTATTCCCATTATTCCCGTTGTTATTCCCGTTGTTATTCCTGTTGTTCTTCCTGTTATTCCCATTATTCCTCTTATTCCCATTATTCCCGTTGTTCCCGTTATTCCCGTTGTTATTCCCATTGTTATCCCCGTTATTTATTCCTGCTGTTATTCCCGTTGTTATTCCCATTATTCCCGCTGTCATTCCCGTTATTCATTCCCGCTGTCATTCCCGTTCTCATTCCCGTCATTCCCGTCATTCCCGTTGCCATTCCCGTTATTCCCGTTCTCATTCCCGTTCTCATTCCCGTTCTCATTCCCGTTGCCATTCCCG